GCATTCTGGTTAGGCTACAGGAAGAAGAACAAGAACCCGTTCTTTTCAAAATAAGAGCGTGAATTTAAACTGTTTCGTGTTTCTTTATTTATTATTATTTATTTATTTAATATTTATTGCCACGGTGTTCCTCAGAGAGGAGGTACCACCTGCACAGCAGATCAGAACCACAGGTGGATTATTGCCCAGTGAAGAAGCTCCAACTGCTTCCTGCCACACAAAGAATTGTGGGAACACTACAGTCTGTATAAGTGAAGACCATCACTGAGAAGAGTCAGAAGTTCAGAGTATAAAGCTCTGTGAACACAGACTGAGGGGTCGCTGTTCCTCACAGAACAGATACATTGTGTTAAATAGAGACAGCTTTCCCCTCCACTGTTCAAGACAATGATGATGAAGTTTTAATGAATTATGTTGCTACAAAACGTAGTGAGACTAGACAGCYTTTTCTCCTTACTTTAGACAAAATCGACAATCGAATATGAAACATTATTTGTGATTAGCGCTACTCAATTCTAAATTTAGAAAGCACAAATCCGCACATCATTTTAAGAAATTAGTAAAACCCCTAAAGTGCAAAAGAGAAATTTAGGTCCGCAATTAGCACATTTGAGCTTTAGGGGACTAGTGCCCACCACTGGTTATGACAGTAGCTATAAGTGACTTTGAATTAGTTTTTATAGTCTGGTTACCAGTTYAGTCCTATATGGCACATGCCATATACTGTTACACATTTAACTACCGGTACTACTAATAAATATTGAAATGAGAAAAACATTAGAATGTCCACACATCTGAGTGTCAAAACAATATTAAGTTAAACTGTTTAATGTCTAATGAGCTGTTATTTTCCAAATAAACCCTTAACATGTGGAACCATATTGTACACAGGATATGTGATCACACGTTTCAGAAAAATCTGTGAAAAACTTAAAGTTTTAAAAGAACTAATGTTTGGCCTAAAGTAGCATTTCACACAGAGAATACTTCCGAAACCAGCTGTGTTTACACTCAACAACTGAATATCTCAATAAACAAATCYTAACCAGTGCAATTACATCTGTTTAAAAAAACTTTCTGGCCTCGTCTTTTTGTTTTTACTGTAGAACTTTGCAGACTTTGTGTTTCGGTGGTACATGGAGAAGGGAAAGAGGGGGAAGCTGCTGTCTCAGCCGGCAGCACAGCATCAGCAGCTGGCCAGCTTCCTGCAGGCTCATCAACACCTGAGCTGGCTGCACCACATCCACGTCCACGACTACCAAAGTGTACGCAACCCCTACACACACACACACACACACACACACACACGCACACACCTAGAACATACAGACTTTCTGCTTCAGCTTGGATTCTTATGGGCAATTTATTTTGTTTATTCAAATTTTTTTGCTTTTATTTAATCAAAGATAACTCARATTTAAAATCTGCATCAAGACTGACAGCAGCACAACAATACAATTACAGTTTTAAAACATTGTAACATACAATGGTATAGACAGAATAATAGCAAAACTAAACAATAAAAGCGATCAACTAAACAATAAAAGCGATCAACTAAAGGAGTCAGGAACTAAACAGGTAATAAAATGTATAGAAAATACCTACAAGCAGATGTGGCTACATCAGAATATTTCTGAATAGATTTAAACTGGTCTAATGTACCCATCTCACTTAGCTTTAGTTATTTTAAATCTGTTTCATAAACAAAAAGATTGGTTTCTAAGTGTTGCTTCTTTCTGTCTGCCTAGTAGTAACTCAGTAAAATTCGATTTTTTTTNCAGCTATATAGTGGTAAACCCTGTAATGCTGCATTATGTAATAAAATTGGGCTTCAAAATGCAATACAACTCCACTAAAACCACATTATGTATTATTTGATGCAAAATGTAAAAAAAATCTTCAYTGCGTTTTGTCATACTTGCAGCCGTAATAGCATTATCACATTTTGCGCCGATTGTTACAAAATGCGGTGGTTGCTCTTTTTAGAAATTATAATGCAATAATAATAAAACAATCACAAACCAGTGTTTCTGTTAATCTTATTCAATACACTTGTATTCAGCTTTATTGTCAGAGTTGCACATAAGTGGTGCGCAGGTACGCGTGCACGGTCAKAAAAGAAAAAAGCGCACCAGATGGTATGTCGTGAAGCTCAATTGCGTACCTAAYTTTGTACCTGATTGTTTGTCAAAACAACAGTTAGCAGGGCTCTAGAAGTGCGACCAGTTTGGTRGCAAACGCGACCTGATTTCTTAAAAAATAAAAAGAAAGAAGAATCCAGCCGCGGTGTGAATGGATCGTTGTTCGGTGCGCCAGAGCGGGACCCTGATATAAGGATTAAATGGACACTGCCTTCAACAAATCAGACGAAGTCCAGAGCTGTTTTGTCCAATCAGAGCAGAGCAGGGCGGAACTTTCAGTGAGAGCAGTCTGGTTGAAGCAGCGGCCGGCTCGAGTCGACTCGAGCTGCTGCAGCGATCAGTCCATACATCTCCTCCTCCGCTCCTCCTGCACTTTGCTCCTGAAATACCAGAGACTTTGGTCTGTAAAACCTAACTTTATATTAAATATGTGTTCAGAATGTTGTTATTGAACAGATCTGTCCAACTCTGTGTGAGTGACTAAACTCTCCTCCTGAGAGACTGCTGTATGAGCACGTCGCTGCACGCGCAGGCTGTCTGTGAGATTCACTGAGTTATTCTAATTAAACCACATTAACTAAGAGAACATTTGTTTGCCCCATATTAAAGCAAAGATGATTCTCTCTTTAACACCCCAGTCAAAAAACTATGTATATTAAAAAAGTAAAAACAACTTACCATATTCTCTAGGTGAAAGAGTTTTAAATCTTCTTTTAATTTATCATAAAGATCCACAAATTTCATTCACAATTTTATATATATAAACAAGGTTCTTGATTTGCTAAACTTTTTTATATTTAGGACCATACTGTGATATAGCTTTTCTGGGATAAATGTAATTTATTAAACGATCAACTACAAATTTCATTCACAATTTTATATAAAAAAACAAGGTTCTTGATGTGCTAAACTTTTTTATATTTAGGACCATACTGTGATACAGCTTTTCTGGGATAAATGTAATTTATTAAATGATCAAATACGAAGAATAAATAATTACATGAGCTGAAATCATCTAAATAGTGTAATATCCATCCATCCATCCATC